AATAATAATTTATTAAATTTGTATGCCACCTGACTCTCAATAGCTCTGGGCAGCTCACAACAAAATTACTATTATTATTATTGTCGTTGTTGGTCACACAGTCTTCAGATGTTTAGACTAGATTTGGCCTTTTTATCAAGCTATTGAGTCCATCCCTCCTCCTCCTCCTCCTCCTCCTCTTCTTCTTCTTCTTACTACTACTACTTGTATGCCACCCGACTCCCGACGACTCTGGACGGCTCACAACAACCGAGCAAAGAAATCACAAGAAAAGGCAAAAAACAGGAGGTGGCAAGCACAACGAAGCGAGGGGCTCTTCGTCTCCCTCGCCGGAGGCCTGGGTGACGATGTTTCTTTTCTGTCCTACTTTAGAGAGGGAGTGTGGGAGGTCACAGCTCCACCTGTCGAGCTTCAGCTGGCTGTTACTGGCACAGGAGGGAGGGTGAGAATAGCTCTGAGGCCTAGCCGCCTGGGGGTGGCATCGCACACACTTGCCAGAAGGGAACAGGCGCTTCTGAGTATTGACGCTCCTTTCGTTTCTCTAACTGCGCCAAACCGCAGTACTTATAAATAACGGCAAGGAAAACCTGAAGCTTCTTTTCCTTCCGTTAACTCACAAAACCACCAGGGGGAAGAAAACGAAACACAATAATTTATTACTTATAATGCATACTTAACTTCTTCCAAAAATAAAACTATGTGGTGCTATCCATTTATATGCGTTAAACCCCCTGGGGGAAAGGAGCCCTGTTTTTTTATTGCTCCTAGAGAATTACCCAGCAGTTTGTGAATTTTGGAAGACAGCGTGCAGAAATGCAACGCCTTTTTTCGTTCTTTTTAATGAAACCAAAAGCCTTCATTCGTCCACTCGATCTTGGAAGTATTCATCAAAAGCAGAAGATTGCTCTTCCTCTGATTCCTGTAGGAAACACAACATTTTGGAATTATTTGAGATTGGATGGGTGTCCAAGACAGAGAAAGACCACAGTACTTACTTACACTGCAACTGTTCTTGTAAAACTGTTCTTGTGAAACTTGTTTTTTCCTGCACAACAACCTTGTGAGGTAGGGCGATCTGAGATACAGTGACTAGCCAAATCTTACTCCCTGGGCTTTCACAGCTGAGCCAGAAACTGAATTTGGATCTCCCCTGCCTTACTCCAGCCCCTTGACTCCACCCCCACACTGCCTTGGGACAAAGTTAGCTGCCCGTTGCCAACTGTTACTCCTCATCTGCTTACACTCTGAGACGTTGCGCCCCTCCTAGCATTCAGGCAAAGAGCTCTAATCCCAACTCCATTTTTTTTCGCTGGAGGTGTGGTGGATCCAGCCTGAACACCCAGGTGCTCAAACACTTCACATCTGACTGAACTAAGATGGCCTTGGGTTGGTAATGCTGGTGGGGCCCCAGAAAATGACAGCAGCTTTTGCCCATGGGGCCTGGCACCTTCACCTTGGGCTCTTTAAATTCCAGATCTTCCCCGTACTGAATGGCGAAATCAATGTGCTGAAGTACAATGTTCACGCTCTCCTCGTCGGAGCGATCAAGAGGCAGGAAGCGAACCATGCTGTAGTCATCAATCTAAACAAAACACATCCGTCCGTTTGGAGAGAAAAACTACAGACTGGATCAGTTACTGTTAACATCGTCCTTAGTGTGACAGGTTGCCTTCAAACGATGTCTTTGTCCTCTCTTGCTCATGGATTGGGAAACATCTTCCCGTTTTCAACCAATATGGGGACTGCTAATTTAGGCCAGGCAGAGAAGGACACGGGGAGCCATGGGTGGAAATAAACAAACAGCACTTACTAAGCCACAGATAGCTTTCGTCAGCTTCTTAAATCGCCTGCTTTTGAGCAAATCTGTTGAATCTTCCAGCACAGAATACATGTCAGGATCCAGATATCTGGAAGAAATTCACTAAGGTTTAAACTACAGCAGTTTCCCAACAAAAGCATCATTCTTTTTTCCTTTTTTTTCTATGCCTCTTAACTGTTTTTTTTTTAACTGCAAAACTTCCTTTAGGCTTTGCAAGAAGTGAAATACAGAAGATCCAATCAAGTTGAGGACTGAAACCAACCTTCCCAGTGTCCCAAAATCTAGGCAAAGCGGAACCATTTCTTGTTCACACTTACTTTTCAATTTCATTTTTTGCTTTCTTGCTCAGCAAGTCCATCTTGGTCATGACGTTAACTTGGGGAATCTCTAAGGAAACCATAGCACTGAGGGCTGCCATCGCACCGGAAATAAACTATTGTCAGAATGAGACAGGACATAAGAAGAAAATCAAAGGAGGTCTGCATACGTCCCATTTCCCAAAACATTACCTAATTTAACCACCACAAAAGGGGTCACTGCAAACCCAAACAAAAGATACGCTGAAGTTCTGCAACTATACAGAACAAAATGAATGACTTCTCACTGATCATCCACAGCAGGGAATTTCAATTTTTAATACCTCTGAATCAGTAAGATACCTTAAAAGATTCCACCATGAATTGAGAATCGACGAGAAAAACACCACAGACACGAAATTCCCACTGCTGCAGCTGTTCTACAAACTGTTTCATCACTGGCAAATGAGTGTAGAGTTCAATCTGACCTAAAAAGTACAAATATGTTTATTCACTTCATCCATCCCCCTCCACCCCCCTCCACTAATTCCACAGAAGAAAACCTCAAGTTCACTATGGGGAACATATTTAAAACTAGAAAGAATCAGACATCAAACAAGAACAATCACAAACTGACATAGCAAATAAAAAAAATTAAGCTAGTTTAGTGTCTCCCTGCTAAAGCTGGCCTGAACTCACAAGGCACCTTTCCTCACAGATATTTATGGGTGCTGGAGAAATCAGGAAGGGATAAAAGCAAACTCTTCCGCTATCATAAAATGAGATATACCTCCCCTCTTTACATGTTTCTTTAACGTACCAAAGTTCATGAGAAGGATTTCTTCCATGCTAAGGTTCCAAGGCCACGTAGTGCCAGAAAGATTACAGCTGCTGAATTTCCACAGCGTTAGAATTAAAGCGCAGGGAGAAAAGCCGAACCAAAGGCGGCCGAAAATCCCACATCCCTCATCCTAGAGTCCGAAAGGCTTACCCTAAACCTTTCCTCGGCTTACCTGGGCAATCGAAGAGGATATAATCGTCTTCCACGTGGCCGAGGCATTCTTCCAGCCAATCGAAATTGTTCGCAAAATACTCCATGCAAAAAACTAAGCCGCCATTGGGGCCAAACCGGAGAGAATCGTCTTCCATGACGTCGTCCACTTCAATTAACTCCCGGATATCTGAAAGGCAAAAGGGGGGACCATCAGGGCAGAGGTTCCCAGATTCCGTGCCAGGGTCAGTCCGATGTCAGCTCCTCGGGGCCCCACGCGGGCCCCCGTCACAAGGGAGACCCCCCTCCTTACCTGCCATGACGTTGTAGTCAAAGTGTTCTGCCGCTGGATCGAGGTTGACCACCTGCACGGAGCGGTTGAGGGCTTCGCAGTGCTGGGCCAGGATGGAGCAGTAGGTGCTCTGGAGGAGGAGAGGATGGGTCGGCAGCGGCCAAGGCCCCCCGCCGCCCGCCCCCCAGGGTCCCAGGTTGGCTCCTCTGGCCTCACACGCCTGGAGCCCTGCCGGGGCATCCGGGGGGCTCATCCCTGCAAATGGGGGAAATCAAGGCGCAAGGAAAGAAGGGTGGATCTGAGACAGCGGAACCACCCACCACTAGATGAGTGGGGTTCAATTCCCAGAATTCCCCAGCCAGCATGGGATGGGATGGGAATTCTGGGAGTTGAAGTCCACCCATCTTCACATTGCCAAGCTTGAAAAACACTGCACTAGATTACAGAAGTTCATCCCCACCCAAGGGAGCTTGTAGCCCCCAAGGCAAAACCACGTATCCCCCAAGACTCACCTTCCCGCTCCCCGCAGGCCCCATCACCAGCTGGGCATAGCGAGGCATTGCCACCCCTATGCCAAGCCGGCCCTCGGAGAAAAGGAAACAACGAATGTTAAGTCGCTTGACCCAAAGAGCTGCCCGTAGCAGCGTTCTCAGCCCTTCCTTCCGTAGCTCTATGGTTTGGGGCTCACTTCCGCAACTACGGCAAGTGGCAGAGCTCAGGCGAAAGAAGTCAAAGGCAGCGGCGTTAACCCTTGAACGGCCACAGCCCCCCCACTAGGGCTACCAGATCCGGGCTGAAAATAATCCGGAGGACCAGGCGGGGGCAGCCAAATGATTTCTTGCCGCCATCAAGCGGTCGCCCGGATGCTTGCAACGTAGATGCTGGCTGGGGTTGACGGCAGTAGTCGTCCAACACTCCTGGTGGGGACCCCAAGGTTCGTCCCATCCCCATTTTCTATTATTATTAGACTATTACTATTAGGTAAATATAATAATAATAATAAATTAATATTTTTTGTTTTAATTACCGAAGTACAACCTATTCCTTTGCTGCTATTTTTTATTTTATTTTATTTTAATTTTTTTATTGTTTATTTTATTATTTATTTATTTGTTTGATTTTGTTCTGCTGTTTATTTTATTATTTAATTAGCTTTGTTTTGTAATTTATTTTATCGTTTGTTTATTTAATTAATTTTATTTTGTCATTTGTTATTTATTTATTTGTTTGATTTTGTTCTGCTGTTTATTTTATTATTTAATTAGCTTTGTTTTGTAATTTATTTTATCGTTTGTTTATTTA